GGGAAAATGTCATCCACAGTCTTAGCCACAACGGCGAGTACTTGTTGCTTATTCAACCCCCCCAGCTTTCAGAGCCTCAACAGCTTGCTGGAGTTGTTCATAGGGGTCAGTGTCCACCTTCGCCTTGTCCTTATCACTCGCCTCAGCTTGGTGGAAGGTTTGGGTTGCTATTTCAGTATGAAGCCTCGTTGTCGTTGACATGTCATTGCCGGAGCTTGAGACAGCTTCAGGTTGGCTGAGCTCAATCACAATTCGCCCCAGTAGTGGGGGCTCCTGCGGCATGAAGTTCCCGGCATACGATATGGTTGGTGACGGAGCCGACATTCCATAGGCCAGATCAGTCACAGATCTTTGGAGGTCGCCAGTCATTCCCATTGACTCAAATGTGGTTGGCTCATGAGCTTGAAACAACTGGGGTTCCCAGATCGGGTGCGCGACAGGTGACCTGGGTGGATGCGGCACTTCAACGTCAGTCTCGCCCTATATTGTGATTCCTTGGTTTAGTGCCACTGCTATGACGACAATTTCCTCCGAATTCTGGGTCGTCATAAGTCTACTGAACTGGACAGAGGTGGTGTTACTGGTGACTGACGGATCTGATGAATCGGTGAGCCTTTTCCTGTCTTGCCTCAACAAAGGAGAACACTAGTTGCTCTTGAACTGACTCTCTGAACTGAAAGAGAAAATAGGCAGCATCTCAGCCTGATTTCACCAAAACAGATATAAGCATAACTGAATAACTGTATTCGATCACTGATCACTGTTCCCCAAATTACTACCCCAGAACTGAATCTGATACCGGCAGATATAACTGATTCTCAAATACCGATATTGATGCCCACAGGCTTGATACCCAGACTTGCCAACTGATACGTGCATTCCCTATAGAGGTACACTCTAAAAGCACATAGCAAGCAAGTGAGAGCCAAAGCACCCCTATGTTGGGGTAGGGTTTCCCTATCCTATTTTGTCAGGAGCTAGGGTTTTACTACGCACGCAGCGGTTTTAAACAACCTGTAATCGGGTAAGCAACCTGTCCTAGTTTGGAATAGTCACTATGGATTCCGAATATGCACTAGGTCGAATGGTCAAAGAGGGTGCCCCGGTTAAAACTGGGGTTTGTGTTCCCAACGTGGCAGAGCCCGTAACCGGTTAACCTTATGGCATGCTTCTCAAAGTGAGCCTCCGGCAAACCGTTCAGGAATAGCAGATGGCAAACACGGTGTCCTAGGCGCACCAATGCAAATGCAATGCAAAGAGACACATAAGTGTAAGCAAAACAAGATATCATGAGTTCGAGTCAAGTTCTCTAAACTCCCCAGCGGAGTCACCAGAAACTGTAGATGTGCCCCGGGGGGCTTCATGCTACAGTTCGGACTCATTTGTCACGGTTCTTAATCTGATCCCATAATGTGCGATGTGAGATTGATAAATCACCAAAGAGTTCAAATCCGGCAAATTGTTTTAGAAAATTGATTTTTAAGAAAGAAATGCCAAATATGGACTGCTTTGCCTGATAAAGAGTCGCCGCCTAAATATTTTATTTTAGGAAAATTTAGGAAACCCCGACTTGGGCCTAAGGCCACGTATCCGTCATTGCCAAAGTTTCCTCGGCTCGGGAACTTGGGTACGATTGGGAAAGGTCATCTATGAGCACTCTCGCTCGCCCCATCAAAGATCGGCCACTACTAAACATGACATTGAGTTTTTAAAAACATATGCGTTCTTATTCCGGTTAATTAGCTAATCTTCACTACGTGATGCGCTTAGCAAAACAAGTATAGACTAGATCGCCTAATTTGGAACCAAGCATCGCATATCCGTTTATTTGGAAAATAATTTGAATTTTGCTACTTGTAACGGATTTCAATGAATTATCCCAATTCAAGCAATCCAACCTTCACCCACAGGCATTCAGGCAGTTATATCATATAAGCAATTAGCCTCATGGTAAGCATGCTGTCATGTTAACATTCACATACATGCAGGATGCTAAAGCATAAACACTCACAGTGTACTCCGAGCCAAAACGAGAAACTAGTTAGTAATCATGCATGATCCTAGTTCATGTTAGCAATGGCTAATGCAACACATACGGAATGCAATTAGAATAGGCTCAGCTAATCTAAGAATGTCATGTGAAATGCGACAACTTGATACATGTATTCAAGTAGGAATTGAAATACAATGCAGTTAGTATGATGCGCCGAGCTCGGTGCATGCAATACAGATGAATGATGCAAACATGCACAGTATAAGGTATGCTAAATCAAATATGCCCTAAAACTAACCATCATAAACGGTTAAGTGAAAGGGAGAAAGACGTGGGGTTGGAAGACATGCATCACACACACGCACGCTTATTACAACAATTGGCCCTCTCTCGGAGGGTCTGAAATAATAATACAAATTAACTAACTAATTAATTATTTATGACTTACCTACCCCCCCCCCAAAAAAAAACTAATTAATTATTACAAAATGCTTAACTAATTAACCAAATTAATTAAGCTACAAAAGCAATAAAGAGGCCTCGATAAGAGGGATGCATGCATGCTCGGACGGCTTTGCTCGGAAATCCATCGCCATGCTCATGCTGCCTCTGTTTACAATGCTCTGCACCTCTGAACACTGCGCAAGTCTCAAGGATGCTCTTGAACCACTCCCTGATCACTGTGGGAGGTCACCGGCCAAGATATGAAGTCACCGGCCATGGAAACATGATCATTAACCAAAAGTAGAGCTCTCGGCCAGGTTAAGTTAGCCGGCCGGCACTGAAGATGGCCGACCGACCATCTATTCCTGAAAAATCCTATTTTTCCTGCAACTGAGGATAGACAGAGCATGGCAATGCATTTTCAAGGAAATGTTTGCACAACCACCCTCCTTATCATGTTTAAAGCTCAAATGAGTATGATTTTTGGCTCTCGGGCCATCAATCACGAATTTCAATGCATGATGGCCCAAAGAGGCCAAGTGTGCAATTAATGTCAAATGAAATGCACAAAAACATACAAGGGCCCTCCACCTCTATCATAGTTGATGAAGAGGCAAGGGAATGCACACTCAATGCAATGCAAGCAAGTATGCAAAGAACCCAAGCATGCAACAACATGTGGGGCAAACATACAACTAATATGCAATAGGCATACAACCTAAACATGTAAGCTAGCATGGCATGCAACAAAATGCAATGGGGTTAGCATATGACAACATGCAATATACTAACATGCAACAACATGCAAGGTACTAAATATGCAACAAGCATGCGACAATCATGCAAGGCAAGCATGCAACAACATGCGGGGATGGACTTAAACCAAGATGGACAGCTCTCAAATAGGCCCAAATCAGTGGCCAAGATGCGAAGAAATGAGGGACAAAAGCATGTGCAAACATGCATGCTAGTTGGCTTAAAGACTAAGGCATAAAAGGGAACTTTCAAGAACACTTAAAAGGAATGAAAAACATGCAAATGTGACAACATTACATGCTCTGGAATAATGCTAGAAGTGATGCCAAATCACATAGACAAATCATGATCATAGCATGCATAAGGCTTAAAGCCTAAGATTAGCGAAGGGACTTGAACCAAAGCTACATAAGACAAAGAGCATATGGCAAGCATAACCCAAAACAATCCTAAGGCATACCAAAGTGATCCTAAAATATGCAATGACCAAAGCCAAAACAAGCTAAAACGAAGGGGCCAAAACATGAGACATGAAAGACTACAAAAGAGGTGTTACTCTACACCTACCAAAGCCAAACATGGCATGACTTAAGCAACCAAAAACAGAGTTATGGCATGTCAAAATAAGCCCCAAGCCCCACTTAGATGGCATCTCAAATGCCTAAGCATGGTGGCATACGTAATGACACATTCATGAGGCATAACGTATCGACTCTTTCAAGCATTAAAGAAGTTAGAAGTGCAAGCATATGAGCATACTATATGGACTGAAATAGCATAACAAGTGGTGCCAAACCACTGAAATAGTCGAAATAGAGTGTGCTAATGACTTGAACACTCAAAGCTAACAAGCTAGATTACATGGTGGCTATACAAAGCAAGTCATGGACGACCAAAACAACCAAAATCAGAGCTTAAGCATGGTAAAACAAAGCTTAAAGCTTCTCAAAGTTAAGCCAAAACATGTAAGCATGGTGGTCTAAACACAAGGTACATGTTAAGGGAAATGAGGGGATTGCAAAGCAAGTATATGAAGCATGTAAGAGCCAACTAAACCCACCCAAAAAAGAGTCATGGAATGCTAAAACAACACCAAAAACCCACTGAAATGAGGTCAACATAGGCTAGAAAGACATGCTCAAACATGAAGTATACAAGACTAGTTTGCAAAATTTACACTACAAGTGTATAGACCATGCATGGAATGACCAAGATAGGCAAAAACAGTGGTACATCATAGCAAAATAACCAAAAATACCAGCTAAGACATGGCCAACATGAACTTAACAAAGGTGCTCACATATGAGGAAAATGTGACAAGTATTGAAGACAACAAGGAGACGTGATGGCCCTCTCCTTCTTAGGACCACAAAACACCATCCCCACCACTGAAATCCCTCTAGATTTCAGTGGTGAGAAGGCCAATACAAGGTGGTCTCGGAGCTCGCAAAAAAAGGCACAAAATGAGGCCGAACAAGGCCTAAGAGGGGGGAAACAACCCCAAACACAAAAATGACCTTAAACAAAGGTCCTAAGCACTAAAAATCAGAAATTTTATCAGTTATAAACTAAGCTTAAAACAATAAGAAAGATATGCTAAAAGCTTAAGCAAGAAAGGAGTTTCTAAAGCAAGGAACTCACCCTTGTAGGACCTCTTTAAGAACAAAGCTCCAGCAGGTTTCTTTGATAAAAAATAGCTCAAGAACCCTAATAACAACCCTAAAAGTTTCGAATGGGTTAGAGTGAGAAGCTCCCGCATCTCTCTAGAAACCTGCGTTTCTAGGGTTTCAATTCCTCATTGATTAAGATGACAGGAGTTAATGTGTTACTAAATACTGAGAGTCCTTTGGATCTACGGGTAAAGGATAGGGTTAGCAACGTTCCTACGGTGGGTATAGCGAGTGATACACGAGGGTTTGTTAACAACAGATTTGGGGTTTTGAGTGCAGCGTCCATGGATCTACCTTCAGATCACATAGATGGGGATGGTTTGAACCTTGGGCATTCTAACGATACTGAGGTTGTGGAGAAATCTTCGAATCAGGAAGAACGAAGGGCGGTAAAACCCTCAGACTTTCAACAATTGGCCGATCATATAGCGATATTGAAAGACCCATCCTCATCGATAATGACCTCGCCATCTACCGCGGGTTCATTATTTTCAGCGCGATGGTCAGATCGTACGGATTTTGAAACCCCTTTGTTTCAAAACCTACCTGATAGTGTCCTGGTTGCTCGAAACAGGCTTGATGGTAAGAATCAGGATGAGAATCTTCTAGATCGTCCTACAGATGTAGGGCTGGAAGAAAATACTGTCTCAGTCGAGGTGGTCCAAACTACTGAAGAGATCCCAGTGCAGACGCCGAACCTCGGAGATGTTGGTCGCGAAGATATGGCTTCCCGAAGGGGTGGGCTTTCAAATTTCAGAGGAGGTAGAGGAGGTAGAGGGCAAGGAGGAGGCAGAGGTCAAGGCCCTTCGAAATCCTGGGCTGATGTGGCTGCATCCTCATCGAGATCTAACATCCCGTTGAGGTATGTCCCCCCTATTCGGAGTGATGGCTATGTTAGTGTGAGTCTCCTCCCAAGGCCCAACCCCTTAGAGAAATGGGATTCATGTCTGGTAGGGTACTTCCTGGACAAAGGGGTGGCTTATAATTACTTGAAAAACAGTGCGTTTGTTTTATGGAAAAATAAGGGTTTGAAGGAAGTTCTAGCAAATGGAGAAGGCTTTAGCTTCTTCATTTTTGAAAGCCCTGAATGTTGTAGTGCGGTCCTTGAAGGAGGGCCATGGTACATAGGGGGTTCTAACCTTTTTCTGAAAAAATGGACTCGGATGATGAAGCTTTCGAAGGAAAAATCTACTACTGTTCCAGTCTGGGCTAAGTTTTTCAATGTGCCTTTTGAGTATTGGGATAGTGATGGGTTGAGCCGGATTGCAAGTGCCGTAGGTACTCCTCTGTTTATGGATCAACTCACTGAACAGGGGAGTAAAGTGTCCTTTGCCAGAGTCTACGTGGAGGTCGAAGCAACATCCACTCTTCCATCGATGTTTAAAGTTAATTGTGAAGATGCAGAAGCTGTAGTAAAAGTCGAATATCAGGGTTTACCCCCTAAATGCGACCACTGTGTAGTTTTTGGGCATGACACTACCAAATGTGTTAAGACTCAAGTGGCGGCCCTGTTAAACCTCCAGAAACAAACAGAAGACAACCCAGATCCGGGATGGGAAACTGTCAAAGCCAAGGGTAAGAGAAAGGTTGATGTCCCTAAGACAGATACTCCTGCAAATTCAAAGGAGGATGGCCTACCGAAATCTGATGTAAGGCAGAGTATACAGCTAGAGCATATTCAGGAGGAGTCAGTGGAGATTGAAGGGGAAATTGAGGTTCAGAAAACCATCCCAGCACCATCAGCAGTGTCTACTCCATCTGAGGGGGAGGTTGAGGTTCAAGAGATAGATGGCTTGAAGGCTTTGAAGAACAGTCTGATGGAAATTACCAGTTTGGTTCTTCCCAATGATGTAGAATTGCGGGCTAAAGTGGAAAATCTAGTGGAAACCACCCCTGGTAGTTCGGCCACTAAAAAGGCTCAAATTGGCACTAAGGCAAAAGGAAGCTCCTCTGGCAAAGGAAACAAGAGCCAGAGGAAGAAACGCAGGTAAATCCCAGTTTATCTGGTTGTGGGTTTCGTATTTTTTGTGATTTCCAATGTCTTTAAAAACTGAATCTTGGAATGTTAGAGGATTTAATAATCCTCATCGACTGAAGGAGGTTAAAATTTTTTTGTTAAATGAAGACATTAAAATCTTGGGCATTTTGGAAACGAAAATAAAAGCTTTAAATGAACAGCAGATTGTTTCTGGTGTAAACAATTGGCCCTTTTTGACTAACTCACAACCTACTAAAACTGGGAGGATCTGCGTCTGCTGGGACCCAGCTTTTTGTAAGGTTACATTGTTATCAGCTTCTGACCAATATATTTTTTGCGAAGTTCATGAATTTTCGTCTAATAACATATTTAAAATCTGTTTTGTTTATGCTGATAATAAACCTGACATTCGAAAAGAGTTTTTTGAGTTTTTGGCTACGACTTCCCATTTGCAGTCCAAAACTCCTATCATGTTTCTGGGGGACTTCAATGCTATAAGATACCCGTATGAGAAATCTGGGGGCTCTGTTAGTTGGTCTAGGGTCAAAGAGGAGTTTAATTCATACATTTTGAAATCTGAGTTGGTTGATCTATCTTACGGGGGTTGCCAATTTACCTAGGCCAATAAGAGAACTAGTGGGGATTATATCGCAACCAAAATTGATAGAGTGCTGGTTAATGAGGCTTGGCTGGATACCTTTCCTGCCTCTTTTGCCACATTTTTACCCTCTGGCATATCTGACCACTCTCCTGCTGTGGTTAATGTTTCTGACAAGAAATCTTCTTTTAAGAAAGCTTTTAAATATTTTGACTTTTGGGCCGACCATAAGGACTTTAATTCTGTGGTTTCTAGAGTTTGGAATCAGTATATTTATGGTGTTCCTATGTATAGGGTGTGCCAAAAATTGAGATATTTGAAGCCTGAACTTAAGGCTCTGAACAAGAAAGACTTTAGTGACATAACTACTAGAGTCCAAACCTCTAAGGGTGAGCTCTTCTCTGCTCAATGTAAGCTGGATAAGGATCCGAGTAATTATGAGTTGCAGAAAATTGAGCGCACTATCTTTAAGCAGCATGTTGACCTCCTGGCTGTTGAAGAGAGTTTGGCTCTCCAGAAATCTCGTGTCCAGTGGCTTAGCCAGGGGGATAGAAATAGTAGCTTCTTTTTCAAAACCATTAAGGGTAATATCAATAGGGGTAAGATTTTGAATCTGGAGTTGATGGATGGCCAAAAATCTTCTAAAATAGAGGACATCCAGAATGCATTCACAAACTTTTTCTCTGGTTTGTTTGGTACCCCGTTTGATGACCAGTATCATGGTTTTGCTAGAATTCAGTCCCTGGTTAAGACCCGTGTTTCTCCTGATCAATCTCTTTTGCTTGCGAGCCCTGTGACTGACCAAGAGATCAAGGATACTTTTTGGTCTCTTAAGACCAATAAGGCTCCCGGTCCTGACGGTTTCTCTGCGGGTTTTTTTAAGTCAACGTGGGCTATTGTTGGAAGAGATGTTATCCAAGCCATTAGAACGTTCTTTGAGTCTGGCAAGCTTCTGTCTGAAGTTAATAGCACAATCATTGCTCTCATTCCCAAAGTCCCCAACCTTGCGAAAGTGGGTGACTTCAGGCCTATTTCTTGTTGCAACACCATCTATAAGTGCATTGCCAAGATCATAGCTAACAGGATTAAATCCGTTCTCCCTGATCTTATTGACCCTGTTCAATCCGCTTTTGTTCAGGGTCGGAGAATTTCTGATAATATCGTCCTATCTCAAGAGCTTATGAGGGGGTACCATAGGCATTCCCCTACTCCGAAGTGTGCTATGAAGGTGGATATCATGAAAGCTTATGATAGCGTGAGATGGGATTTTATACTTGATATTCTCAAGGCTATGGCCTTTCCTCCTGTCATGATCTCTTGGATCAAGGCCTGCATCACTAGCCCTTCCTTTTCAATTTGTATCAATGGTAGCCTTCATGGCTATTTTAAAGGAGCTAGAGGTCTTAGACAAGGTGACCCTATGTCCCCTTACTTATTTGTTTTGGCCATGGAAATCCTGGCCAAAATCTTGGCGGAGAAAGCTAAGCACCCTCTTTTTAAGTTTCATTGGAAGTGCGACAAGACTAAAATTATCAATCTTTGCTTCGCGGATGATCTTATGATCTTTAGTAGGGGTGATGCCTCTACTGTTAAGCTCATTATGGAAGGCCTTAAGGAGTTTTCATCCTTGTCTGGCCTAATTCCTAATCCCAGCAAAAGTAACATCTACTTTTCTGGTTGTGATATGGAGTTGAGAGCTTCTATTCTTGAGATTGCTAAGTTTAATGAAGGGACTCTTCCTGTTAGGTACCTTGGTGTCCCCTTAATTACCACGAAGTTGAGGGCTGCTGATTGTGGTCCTCTCATTGATAGGATCACCAAAAGAGTGAAGAGTTGGACCAATAGAGCTTTATCTTACACTGGTAGAAGCCAGCTCATTCAATCCATTCTCTTTTCTATGCAAGTGTACTGGTCCTCCCTTTTCATCCTCCCCAAGAAGGTCATTAGGGAGATTGATAGTATTCTTAAAGCCTTCCTTTGGTCTGGAACTGATCTTAAAACTCATAGTGCCAAAATTGCCTGGGATTCTGTGTGTGCTCCGAAAAATGAGGGAGGTTTGGGCTTTAAATCTTTAGATATTTGGAATAGAGCGGCCATAGCTAAACACATTTGGTTTTTGTTCTCTGGGGGTGAGGGATCTATGTGGTGTCAGTGGGTCAAATCTTACTTATTAAAGGGGAAGAGTTTCTGGATAGTTAAGGTTCCTAATGACCCCTCTTGGGTGTGGAGAAAATTATTGTCTCGTAGGAAGTGGGTTTCCCCACTGATTAAGCATAAGATTGGGTGTGGGGACACCACTTTCCTTTGGTTTGATAATTGGCATCCCATTGGTCCTCTTTGGAACAAATTCGGGGATAGAATTATTTATGACTCTGCCCTTAACAGTGATACAAAAGTCAGTAAAATCATTGATGGGTCTTCTTGGAAGTGGCCTTTTCCCAATTCTTGGGAAATTCAGGAGCTAATCTCCTCTACTCCTGTGTGTTTTCTTCCTAATCCTTCCAGCACTGATCAAGCTATTTGGAATCTTACCACTGATGGTAAGTTTTCCATTCAATCAGCCTGGAATCATTGGAGAAAGAAATTCGATAAAGTGGTTTGGCATAAGCTTATGTGGGGCCCTCACAGAATCCCTAAAGTCAGCTTCATTGTTTGGGTGGCTCTCCACAACAGACTTTACACTGGTGATAGGCTCCGTATGTTTGGCCTGTCCACTAGCTCTCAATGCCCCTTTTGCCACCACCTGGAGGAAAGCCACTCTCATCTATTCTTTGAATGCATCTTCTCTAGTAGAGTCTGGAGTGCCATTGAAGTCGCTTGTAACATTAAGTGGCCTGTCCTTGGCTGGCCTGAGAGTGTTACTTTTGCTTCTAAGGAGACTAAAGGCAACTCTTTGAGGGTGAATATCATTAGTAATGCATTCTTGTGTTTTGTTTACATGATCTGGATTGAGAGAAATAACAGAATTTTTAACAAAGAGCTAAAACCTGAAGAGGTGGTCATTAAATCTGTTATCCAAATGGTTAGAAATAGAATGCTGTCAATTAAGAATATTCCTAGATCCAATGGTTACAATTGGTTTCTTGATAAATGGAGTTTGCCGGAGACAATTCTGAAGCCCCATAGCATCAGAAATGGGAGGGCTGCTGAGTGATGTGAGTTCACTAAATGTGGGTCGAGAGATGGTGAGCTTATATGAGGGTTTTATGTATTTAAGCTTTCTTCTTTTGCAGGTATATTCGGGTGTCCCAAGTGGATCTATCTATCCTTGAGGGTCGAGTGATGAAAGTTACTTTATATATTCTCCAATTATCTGTGGGTCGAGTGATGTTAGCCATAAATTTTTTACTAATGTCTATATATACTGTAAATTTTTATGTGCAGGTTAAGGAAGCTAATTTCGAGTGGTGTGAGCCCCTAAATTGTGGGCCGAGTGTTGAGAGTTACTACATTGAGGGTGCTGCTGCTATGTTTTGTCTTTGGTATCACTGGATATACTCATTTCTGATTTCTTCTACAGGGTCTATTACAATGTTTGAGCAATATGGTGGCTGCCTGGATAGGGATACGTGCTATGCGTCTGAAGAATATGACTGTTATGAAATTCCTATGCTGGGCAGATCGGGCTGCTGTGGGTCCACTATTATGTTTGAGTTCTATTGGTGCTGTATGGACTGCTTTGGGTTCGATGGCACTATGGGTGGTCGTGTTTGCTGGCAATTGTTGATGGCTGCTTGTAGCACCTTTGTGGATACTTGTCTTTCTTTTATTTGTATTTTATTTGACTGTGTATGGACTATGAGTGTTTTGCTAGGTTATCACTCCTTTTGGCCTAGCCGTGTGGGATGTACATGGCCTATCATTTTGTGTCTGCTGCTAGGTGTTACCGTTTTGTGGGCTGATTTTGCTCAGATTTGGGTCGCTGTTTGGATGTGTTCATGGTCCTCATTCGAATTTATGCGGCTCATGAACATATTTTGGGGGGTTATTATTTTCCCATGTTTTGATTTCCTTTCTCTAGTTATAGTCTTGTTTGTTACTGGTCCTATTTTATTTTGGCTTTTGCTGGTTGTGTGAGTTCGCCTTTTTCCTTTGTTCTTGTATAGTTTCTGTTAGGTCCTGGGGTATGCCCCTTGTTGCTGTGTAATCTCTGTTTTTTTATTTATGTCTTATTCACCCCAAAAAAAAAAATAACAACCCTCTAGTACCTCAGTAACCCAAGGATGGTGTAATGCTAGGTGTTCAAGTGCAAAAGTAAGACAAAAACTCATTTTAGGTCACAAAACAAGACTAAACGAAGAAATATAGATACAAAACTATATCTATCCTCTCTAGGCCATTTTTCTGAACCCTTGAGGAGGGAGGAGGAGCTCCCTCTTTATAGAAGTTCAATAACAAAGCTTCCAAAGCAAGCTAAACCAAGAGGCAAATCTCTCCATACACATGTATGGAGGGGAGCAAATGTGCATGCCAGCTAATCCAGCTGGCATAAAATATTTGCATAAAGCAGATGAACAGGGTTCGGCCAGCAAAAATGGCCGATCGACCAACACAATGGCCGGCCAACAAAAAACAGTGCTGATCGGCCAGCACACTTGGTCGATGGAAATAACACAGGGTCGGTGGCCTCAAGCCTTGGCCGGTGGGTTGAGGGCATGGAAAACAAGCCTCCCTCTTCCATTAGAAGAAAAAACACAAGTGTTTGGTTCACAACCAAGCACAAAATAGACAACTTGAGAGATCTTGAGGTAGGGCGCGTAGCCGAGACCTCCGAGAACTCAAAACGAACACGAGCATGGATGATCATCGAGTGTTCAAACGATGATGTCCAAGTCTTGAGGACGGTCAAAAATGGGTTGTCTACACCTTCGTGCATGATCACAATTGGCCAAATAAGCCTACGAATTCGGAGCGCCCTTCATAGATATCATAATTGGCCAACACAATGGCTCCAAATTCGGAGTGCCCTTTGTGCATGATCACGATTGGCCAAATAAGCCTCCGAATTCGGAGCGCCATTCGTGGATATCACGATTATCCAATACAAAGACTCTGAATTCGGAGCACTCTTCGTGGATATCACAATTGGCCAACACAAAGACTCCGAATTCAAAGCGCCCTTCGTGCATGTTCTCGTTTGGGCCGAATAACCCTCTGAATTTGGGGCGCCCTTCGTCCATGTTCACGTTCGGGTCGAATAAACCTCCGAATTCGGGGTGCCCTTTGTACATAATCACGATTGGCCGAATAAGCCTCCAAATTCAGAGCACCCTTCGTGCATGTTCACGTTTGAGCAGAATAAACCTTCGAATTTGGGGCGCCCTTCGTGCATGATCACGATTGGTCGAATAGGCCTCCGAATTCAGAGCGCCATTCGTGCATGATCACGAATGGCTGAATAATCTTCTGAATTCGGAGCGCCCTTTGTATTTGGCAATAAAGTGGTGTGGGCCCACAAATATGCAATTATCACACAAATTCGTACAAACATTCAACAAACCAATATAACAAGTATTTATTTATTTCATCAAAGATGTACAAATACATGGCTTTTGAAAGATTCAAACGTAGAATAACATGTTTCTTGATATCTAAGTCTTCTCTAGCTCGGCACCCTTTTCGTCATCATTTTTTTGGGCATCGCAAGCTTCAAAGGGAAACTTGTAACTTTAGAACAGCAGTGACGCTGAATCGATGCCCGCAGCTGGCAGAGCCTTGGTCCATCCGTGCTTAAAACCGTGACTCTCATATCGGCAGACATCATCTGCCAACTTCTCCTTGGTCTGTTGGATACCGATCTTTCGGCCATCAAAAAAACGTTCTTTATAAGCCTGTGTTCTTATCGCCTCCTTTGCGAACACGCTAGCCATGTCCTGATCGGCTATGGCATGATCGGGTAGGCGCTGGTTTACCCTGTCTATTACGACCGAGTTCATCGGAGGTGTCATTTACATCTCGGCCGCCTTGGCCCTTCTTAGCTCATTCTCGGCTCCCTCTGTGTAGCTTTCCAAACTCCGAATGCACCCATTCATCTGCTCAACTTCTCTTTGTGCAGCGCGAAGGCACATGCCTATCTTGTAGGAACTGTATAATCCCTTAACTGCCCCATGAATGCACTCTCAGAAAATTTCATAATCACCATGACCAATCATCGACTGTTACACTGCGGGTGGAAAAATTTGCTGAGTGAACTCTACTACCACATTCGGATCACGGATAATTGAATCCCCTTTGATCATTGGTCTGTTTCTAATAAACACCACAAAGCTTAGTGGGCATGGTGCCCTGGTCAGTTCGTTTCGTGTTGAGACATGTACACTCCTAGTCCTTGAGGTTCCTCACTATTGCCCCTCTCCTTGGCGATTTTTCTACCTCACCCCCTCTTGGGGACCTGCTTCGACGACGGAAGGACTAACGCCTCTCTCGTTCCTCCAATGCCACATTACCCATTCGGTTGGGCTCAACACTAGCTCCGTGATTCATATCTACTTCCAATTCAGCTAATGTTTTTCCCTCACCTTTACTGTTGAAGAAAACTCTGCTAGACATACGAGATAATTCAAGTTAACACAATGCTTTTTTCCTTTTTCACACTCATCTAGGTTTGCACTTTGTCTATTTAATTTGGCTATAGTCCATCCACACACCTGGCTACACCGCTTATTAATTGTGAGTGCACCAATTACGAAGCGTCCATGGATGCCGCCCTCTCCGTATTTGGCCGTTATGTTCAAGGGTCAACTAGGGCAAGGGCATAATATTAATATATTTGGCTATTAAACAGTTTTGCCGAGTTCAGAATAGTGCCCCACTTGACCCCATGAACCTACTTGGTCATTGTATTCGGCCGTTATGCTCAATGGTAAACTGGGGTATGGGCAGATTTATTAATCTATTCGACTATTAAACAGTTTTGTCGAATTTAGAATAGTGCCCCATTTGACCCCATGAACTTGCTTGGTCATTGTATTCGGCCGTTATGCTCAATGGTAAACTGGGACAAGGGCAGATTTATTAATCTATTCGGCTATTAAACAATTTTGTCGAATTTAGAATAGTGCCCCACTTTACCCCATGAACTTGCTTGGTCATTGTATTCGGCCGTTATGTTCAGTGGTCAACTAGGGTAAGGGCAGAATTATTAATGTATTTGGCTATTAAACAGTTTTGGCAAATTTGGAACAGTGCCCGAATTGGGGATCTATTACTTTATTCGGATTCTTGTAAAAGGACTTTCCTCAAACAAATTGATAAACAAAATGGACATTTCAATTCATAAACTGTACACGTACATTCGACATTTTATACATGAAAATGGCCTTAGTACAAAACCTAACTTATCTAATAAACGGAAACAAAACAACTAACCAAAAGAAAACATATCTATTACAATGATGGCCTTTCAAAAGTCTAACTCCTCTAGGTCTGACTCTAACGGTTCGACTTCAAGCTGTTCGTAGGGAATCGGTTGCTCAAGAGTCACCTTGGCAGTTGCCAAAGCTTTGAGCCATCCATGTTTGAACCCTCGATTCTCAAACTTTAAGGCTTCATCAGCGCATAGTTCCTTAGCCTTAAGCCCTCCGGCATCAAAAGCTTTGACGGCCTTTGCCTTGGCAAGCTCCTTCGCCTTCCTCTCCTCTTCAAGGTCGGACTTTAGTTTTTTGACTTCTTCTTGTGCTGATTTAAGGGAGCCGTCTAGCAAGTTCACTTGGTCCTCAGCATCCCTACATAACTATTCAACGTGTTGAGCTTTATCCTGCACAGCAACGGCCCTCGCCTTCTTTTCCTCTGCCTTTGCGGTTTCAAACTTGGCCTTAGCCGTTGACACATCCAAATCGTCAATTGTAGCCACGACCTTTCCTTTCTCAGCTTCAATCTAGCCCTCAAGAACGTCAAGTCTCTCCACGGCATCGTAGTGACGACAGCCGATCTCGGCAATCCTCCCCGCCGCCTGACAAAAGCAATAAAGCCAAGACTTATTAGTCGGCACTAAAAATAATTTATACTATCCAAGGGGTCAAAACTTACCAATATAGCCGACTGTGCTGCCAAAGCAATAGAGACGACATCTGGTTCGGCTTGGAAAGTAGAAGACGACATCTTAATTCTTGGCCGTTTGTCTGTCGGCGCTTCTATTAGATCGGGGACGATCTC